TATATAATTATAATTGATGAGTAGCATTTCGAGCCAAAACGAGTCGAACACAAACGAACAATTTTTTATTCGTGTTCGGCTCGTTAACTTAGCGAACAAGCCTAACACGAGTTGTTTGTGAACAACGAGCCGTTTTGACAACCCTATCGTGCTTATCATGAATGATACATCCCACGTTAGTCGCTCCAGAAGAGAGGAGAGCAGCATCAATGTTTACCTTTAACCATCCAAGAGGAAAAGGGGGGGGAGGTATGGTTGGTGGGGGATGCCACATTCCCCTTCCAGTCACCTCCTGTTTCCTACCACCCTTCCAACCACCTCCCGCTTGCTACCACCCTTCCAGTCACTCTGCCCTACACTAGTTTATATTTCCCCTTAAGCTGCAACACGTTAGTTTTCGCCATCAGCCCTAGTTAGGTCGTGTTGTGTCTTTGTTATCTCCTAGTTTCAAATGTATGTGATTGTAACATTTATTTGCTTTTGAGTAAAGATATTGCTTTCCCTATTGGGTTATCAACAAATTTAAGCTAATCTTAGCTAATAAAAATTTTGTGCCCTATCAAATGCATCTTACAATTCACAACTCAAAGAGTCGGAGCCATTAGAGAACATGCATGCCTCAGCCATTACTGTGATATATTGGTGTTATTTTGCAGCTAACTATTCAATCAAATGGTTTCAACCGTAACTATTACTTTGTGAAGTGTCCTTTTATTACAAAATTATGTTGATGGAAGGTAAGAGCCACATCTTTACTGGCATAAGACCATTGTCGAATGAACATATAAGTTTGTTGATATGACAGGCTATTTCTGAGCTGACATTAATCTTAAAGTTATCATTGATAACAAATTAATATGAAGAAAAATCAAATTTTGCCTCCTCACTCTCAATGATAAAACTCGCTTGAGTATCTTGAGTTTCATCATATTTATTGAAATTTTGTGTAGGGTTTGAAATAATTTAGAAAAATAAAATTAACTGCAATTGAAGTTTTTTATCGGCACGGTCATTATCATATTATTTAAGTAACTTCATTTTGTTATTTTAAACCTTATCAATTTTGTTGATTTACCTACAACGGAATGATTCTACAATTTATATATGGTATAATTTCATTTCAAAATTCATCACATTATAGACCTCGTTAAACCTAATGTGCGCATAAAGGATCAAGTCTATCATTGGGAATTACAATTGCGTTTTTGAATGTAATGTTGAGAGTTTTTATTTTATTTTATTTTATTTTTGTAAAAGTCTTTCAAGGCCGCATAAGAAGGAGAGATAAAAAATATTTTCACAAATTACACAATTTATTGTTCACAAATAAATTTGTTCTACCAGAAAGCCCTCTTTTGATGGGTGTTACGATAATTTATCCAAATTGAATTTTACTCCAAGGGAAACAAGAAATTGAAACTAAATAGAAGGGTTTTATGACACTATCCTATAGGCAATACAAGCCACCCAGATACAAAGAGTTTCCATTTGAAGTGACTTTTTCGTAGAAGGCCTTAAAAGCCGTACTTAAATTATTAATAGGAAAAATTTACTAGGTTCCTTGGAGAGCATCTATTTTTCGGTCCTTAATGACGAGTTAGTTGTATTAGACTGAGAATATGAGTTAAAACACATTTATTTAGCATAAGTCTGGCTGACTACAATCCTCAAGTTATATGGAGGATTGGCCGTGCGGTCAACTTGAAAACATGTTATGGACATCAGTTTAAACCTTGAATTATTTGAAGTAATGGCGTGCTTCTCAAAGCAGAACAATTAAATTCACTTTGCGTCAATTCACACAATGTTCGCATATGTTGGTTCAATCATTTAAGATGTCTGTCAAAGCACATACAGACAAATATACTTTCAATACTTGATGTGACGTGCACATCTTTCAAAACAACTAAGTAAGCAATGAAACACAACCATAAAGTGCTTGTCTCATTAAAATAAAATAAAATTTCTAGCTAGAAAATGTGGTAGTTTATGGGAGCGTGCGGTCACTCGAGACATTCATCGATTACTCTTAGCAATTGACATCTGTGTGGCTTAGAGCACTCGTACAACCTATGACACACAATGAATTAAAGTGCCTTGGTGTTAATTGTAAGAAATTTTATTCACGTGAATTCATAGCGGTTTGATAGGTATGAAAGACGACGGTGGCAGCCATTCATGTGAATGCAATATCATCACGAGGTGCACATAACTTTGCCTCTTGAGCCAAATATTGATAGTATTTTGTCTGTTTGCATCATATATAAGATTCCTTCCGTTTTAGAGGAAGGCAAAATTATTTTGGTTGGTGATTATAAACGTTCAAAATAGGAATCATGTGATTATGATTCATAATGTAGATTTTTGTTAGACTCTATGTGATTTAACCAGCAAACTGATATCATAATCAGCTTCAAAAAATTCTTCACCGAGACTTCCCTAAAAAAATGAATATGGCACCTCTCATAACTGTTGAAAGCTCCTTATCTTTTAAATAGAAAAAATGGGATACATAAACCAAAATCAGCCACTGTATTTGGTTATGTTTCTTGATCCTGACAACCATGTCGACTATATAGAAACTTATGAACTTAAAGAAAAGAAAGTTAATATAATTTCTTCTTTATATCCAAAAATAAGTAATGCTAAAAGAACCTTTCTTCTCTCAGAAGTCAGCTGAGGGATGACCAACCGTATGGCTTCTCCATCATTATTTGGTGTCAAACCAAGATCTGAGCCAACTATTGCCTTCTCTATAACTTTCAAACTGGATTACTTGTCAACAAAAGTGGGTAAAAAAAATTCAAGTAATGAAAGTTAAGAAAAAAACAAGTAAATTATACCTTGACTTGTCAAAGGGCTGCACGAGGAGAGAACTTGCATCTGGTGTACTAATCTGTGCAATGCTCTTCAAAGTTACAGGAGTTCCATAGTACTCAACCTGGAAAAAAAATGGACCTCATTTCATAATAAACTAGAAAGATATACCCATTTTATCCATCTTTCAGCTTAACATTTGAAAGAAGATTAAGTTTGTTCCTTTATAATTTTTCATTGTTGGTTACCGTCAGCGTAATTCTCACCACAAAATAATATGATGGAGATACAATATGTTATCAAAAAGAATTTATAGATATTGTTTGTCTTAATCTTTTAAAAAGGCTGCATTTTATGGATAGAGACTTAAACTAAAAGAGCATTGGCAAAACAAAATATTGAAATATTTTTAACTAAACAAGAAAATTTTGCAAAATCATTATATAACAATAACTCAACTAAGAATAATAATTAGAAAAGTAGAAGGAAGTTATCTTAAGAACTTAAAAGCAGGCTTTCCCTGACAGTAATCAATAAACTTAGAAGAAAAAAAACTCTTGGGCATTTATACCTTCAAGTTAGGATTCCTGACAGCACAGCTCTAAGGGAGAGAAACATAATGATGTAAGACAAGGAGTATACAATGGAATGCATATGATGGTAGATGTGCATAATATTACTAAAAACCATAATGCTGTATGATGATTAGAAGAGAGATGGCAAGCTAAAGTAAACAAAATTAAAGGAAGATTTACATACATAAAACTCAATTATTATGTATTTACATATCCAACATCAAAGCTTTAATTTTTACATACATAACACCTTAAATACGTATGAAAAGGAGTATTTCACTTTTTAAATGTTAAAATAGTAGTATTTTATGTGACATGGAAGATTTGGGTGATATTATGTAAAAAAGTAAAGTTTACAATAAGATTTGTAAATACATGAGAATTGGATTATATGTCTGTAAATGCGCCAAAAATAAATCGAGAGGAGAACTCGGGAAAGATTATATTGACTCCAAGTTTATCTAAGGATCCTAGTGAGTCTCCATCAATCAAGCTGCCTTGAAGTGCTGCCTTCCAACAAAGCAAGGTTTCAAGACCCACTATACATGAAATCTTGTCCAAAGCATGTGATTGACCTTCGTAAACATTCTAAATTCAGAATTAAGAGCAACAAACATACGTCAAATTTTCCTTATTAAACCTACAGTCATACATATCAATCCATTAAATATCTCTAACATATAAAAATTCTGTCCCGACAACCCCATCAATGTTCAGCATTAATTTAATTACCGCATGCCATCACAAAGTCAAAAAAGTCCATCAAATTAAGTTTAATTCTCAAAACTCAAAATGGATAAGAATCCTATGCAAACTAAACTCAAGCTAACTCCAGACTTAACAAACCCATTAAATTAGAATGCAGGCCTTTCAATGCCGATAAGTCTCACTCCAAATAAAATTTCGGGTAGCCCCATACCAACAAGCTCATCATATGAAGTTTAATATATTATAATTAATAGAATCAACATAAAATCAACAATGCCCCCTCAAAAATAAATTCAACTTGGGCAAATTTGCCTATAGGGTAAGACAATAAGACCAATCACTAGGCTTTCCTATAGTTAATGGTTGTAAATCCTGTGTTTGAGTCTCCTAATGGACTAGGTCCCATGGCAATCATTTAGGACAGGCATAAAGCTAATAAACCCATTAAATCAAAAGTTTGGACCATCTAGTGGACATAAGCTCCAACCCAAACTAAATTTAGGCTAGGTCCTAAAATAACAACCCCTCCAATCAATATCAAATCCAACAATTAAAATCACACAAGCTACTTAACAAGCTGAACACGAATTGTTCACCAACAACGAGCTTTTTTGATAGCCCTAGTAACAACCTATGGTCCCCAAAGCACTGCTCACACTTTCTCCAACCGTCTGCTCTGCTCTCATAACAAGCTCCTGCTGTAAAAGGCTCCGGATTATTCTATACTTACGTTGTATGTCTGTATATATAGACCTTCCTGTATTTCTGTAGTTGAGTGGTTATGCAAAATGGCTCTTTCGATGGTACAGATAATCATACTTGCAAGGAACTTTGTTAGTTAAAAATAATATGTTTGGACCAACAGATACCTTCAACGAGACCTGAATAATCTCTGATTGTCTCATAACAGTAGTTATTTAAAACTCGTCTTTTGATTTATTCTTATTTTTTAAATATAACTGGATAACATTTTCCACAAGGAAATATGTTCATAGCTCATCAGCCACATGCTACTAAGAACAATGGAATTTTAAGGAACTGTTGCTTGGTTTTGTACCTCAATTCCATCAAGCATGGCAGGATTTGCTCTTCCAGTCCTTACTGCATTGAAGTTTGATCTTACCGTTTCAATTGTTTTCTCCATCCTCTCCCTCTTAAAAATTGTAGCCTCCTAATTTAGAAATTGATAATGCAAGCACAACTTTATAGATAGAACAAATAACCAAAAATACTTACGGCCTCTTTCTCAATCAAGAATTTCTCCGCTTCAATTTCTTCTATAGTTGCACACCTAAAGGTTGATCCCCTAAGACAGCGGTACATATTTTAAATAAATAAAATATGGTTTCCAGGTTCAAATAGAGATGAAAAAATAAATAAATGAAAATGATGTTTGCCTGTTTACAGCAATATAGTTAGTTGCCATTGACTTGCTCAAGAATCGAGTGGTGCCGTCCAGCATATGTACATAATTAGCACTTGACCTCCAAGACAAACCATTTGAAGAAGCACAAAGTCGCCCAGTTTGGTTCTCTCTTTCAACACAATAATCTGAAAATAATGTTTGAATGCAGAAGGAAAGAGGATGCAATATAATTTATCCATTTTGCAAATCTAGCATGCTAAAAACATTAAATAATGACAGGCATAGCCTTAATAATTTCAAAAAATTTAGCTTTCATAAAATTGCAGTCTTGCTGCTTTCTTTGTCTGAACTTTTAAAGTTGTGGACTCTGATTATATCGGTTTCAAATAGAATATGAATGCTCAACCCGAGAGAAGCTTAGGATCTAGAGGACTTAAGATTGGAAGCCTAAAATGGGATGTATAATTTTTCTCAAAATCAGTGGACTCAGAGTATCAGAATTACATTCGCAACTTTGACAAAATTGTAGAAATGGACTAAGGGGTAACCCATTTATAGCAAAAAAATAGTATCCAGTGGGGTCCACTCAACTAAAATACAAATCATGTGAGAACAAAACATGCTTCTTATAAAAGACAAAGAATATTTTAACTTTCAAAAATCACAACCGGATTCGCACTAAATATATGCAATCAAACGGAATGCTGACTATGAGACTCAAAAAAGAAATTTTACGTGCATTTTAGTGACAAAATATTCGTGCAGTTTAAATATTTAAAATTTTAAGACTCCTATGAGAATCACAAATGAACTTTTAGCTCAAGTTTGATGCCTCAAAAATCAAGTACGTGCATTGAAAAGCAAACTTATTCTTAAAAAAGATGACAAACATTACCCTTGCAAGCACACAGATAAACATGCACTTCCTTTAAATGTGCATCATTTATTAAAAAATAAACTTATTGCATGCTCAAATAAGTGTGACGCACCACAAACAAAATTCAAAATTGTAGCAATTTCAAAGTGTCATTTGTGCTTTTTAAGAAGGTTTGAACTTTAAATTATGGACTTGAGAAGCAAGCAACTACTTTGAAAAGCATGCTAAGCTTCCGGATTGGTTCATAAAGTTTAAAAAAACTACATGAATCTACTTAAGTGTGTTATTATTCAAATCAAAACAACGACGATGCAAAAAAAGATGGATTGCTCAAGTATATCAAAATTCAAAACATCATATCTCAAAAAAATGCAATCATTTTAAAAAAATCATAAAATTTCTTTCAAAAGTAAGAACTCAAGATTTCTTTACATGTGCTCTAGTAAATGTGTTCAATATCCAAACTTAAAATTAGAATACTACGAAAACTAAAGGCCAAACAAATTCAAGTTTCCCTTCACTTCAAGAATCGTGCAATCTTTATGATAAGCGAAAAATCACTTTGGAATTCACATAATTCTCTTTGATGTTCAAACATTGATTGATCAACAAACAAAATGTTACATGAGTTCCTGAGCTGGCCACCTAAATTAACATGGCAATGTCATAAGTTTCATTTCTAAAGTTCGATCCTCCACTTCTTAATAACTGGAATTAAGAAAACTTATTCCCCATGCAAATATTCATGCATTAAATTTGAAATAATTGTGGTTAAAAATAATTTTAAATTCTCTTCCCTCCATAGTCTAAGCAACTCAATCTTTAAACTAGGAATAGAATACTTGACTGTAAAATCCACGAAACTATTTTGTCTTTTGTTTACATATCTTTCAAGGTGTTTTAAAGAAAAACATATATATTTTCAGATGAAAACCCTCAATACTGCACACTCATAAATTATGATAATAAGTTCAACTTACAATCCCGATCCTCTACAAATAAAGAGAGAGTTGACAAAGTTTGTAAAGCGATGAATTTCCAACCAAATTCAAGTCATATGCAAATCACAAATGCAGTTACTCTACAATTAAGCAAAGTCAAAAAAGTTTATAGTGACAAAATAGAATTATTCAAAATACCCCTATGATGAATATATTTATCAAATATCAAAACCAAATAGGTCTATTTTTAAAACCACAATTCCAAATTACAAATGCAAGTGATGCAAATATTAAACACTTTGATATGATCGTATTAATAGAAAACCTCAACCCAAGAGGATACTATCATCAAAGTGTCTCAAGTCTTAAATGCAAAGCATTTCAACCTAAAATTCGAATGAATATATAAATTTAAGAAAATTATAAGATTAAAAAACTATTAAAATGAAATATACTACATAAATAGAAGAGCAATGATTTATTCACCCTCCATAATAATTTGTCAGGGGTGATAAATTTAAGATGACCTCAAATGTCAAATCAAGCATATCTTTATGATCACTCTTAAAAAATTAATGTCAGAAAATACTTGCATGTGTCCTCTAATCAAATGATTTTTTTACAAATGGCACCCCAAAAAATACATTTTTTTTATTGGGACTCTCTAGCAGGGTAGTTCACCACAAAATAAACCATTAAATTACGATCATCGCCATAGCCAATAAGTTCCCCAATTATTCAAACACCTTGAGTGGAGAATCATGGGTGCACGTGATAAAACAAAAAACGCATTGTTATTTAAGTTCGACTTAAAATTATCCACTTAAATAAATATCCACCTTGAGTTAAAAGGTCTTGTTGAACAATGTAATTCATTGCTGCTAATATGAATAATTTGATCAGACCGGATTGATCACCTCCTTTGATTAAGTCATCAAGTTACACAATAATTCAAGCAGAATCATAGAAGCCTGAATGGGTTTCACTACCCAATATAAGCTAAAAATGAAAATTTTCATAGTCATTAATCCAAATTATGGTTGTTATGAGTTATGGATTTAACATATAATAACTATCTTTAATAAAAAAAATTTCTTGTCACTGGAGTAAGTAACTAATCATAAAATATTCGTGCTTGTGGAAAGCCTAAAATCATATTGTAAAGTCTACGCAAACTGAGAGCAATTTTTTTTGGAAACATCTTACCTAAAATCTAAGATGACTTCTAAAAATATAGCTCGAAAATAAACTTTCAAAAGAGTCGGGGGGCGAATTTTAAAGTTCACACTCAACTTAATGTTTCCATTAAAAATGGCATGTTTCATGCTAAGTTCCCGTAGATGGAAAACATTAAAAAGGTTTTACTGCATGCAGCCATACCACTTCGATACAGACAGTTCATTTCCATGACTCATCCCTGACAATCTAATCATCGCACTAAGCCACCCAAAAAATGTTCATAGATAAAGAAACGGCTATGATTTGTTTTTGCCATGAGTACTTGCACAATCTTCCACGCAGCTAAAAAGTTGACCAACAGCACGAACATGAATAAAGCAATGATACCAAACCCAAGTCTTTAAATAAAATGATAGTATTTTGCAAAACTTCATTGCAAAGTCCATTTTACAATATCATTCCCAATTTGCCTTAAGCCTCACATGCACATCTGCCCCTTCAACTTTTCACAGTTCTTACTATTAAAATAGCAATATGCTTATCCATTCACGAATTTTCCAATCTTCTCCTGATTAACCACGTTATCACTCAAGTAAAAGCATCCCAGGCATTAACACCTAAATTATTAAATCCATAAAAGCCAGGAACATGAAGTTTCTCCTAGTCATCTCCTTATCCTGACCCTTTCGTGTCCCCTAGTGCTCAATAGTTCTGCAATCAGCATTTGGGCGAGGCGAATGACCATTAATTCACCACCAGCGTTTCAACCTTTCTATATATCAATTTGGCTAATTCCATAAATTCCCCACAAAATCTGCCCCTCTCGTTACACTTTTCGGGGTCAAGCAGTAAAACGGTTTCGTCCATTGACAATGCGCTCCAGCAAAATATTGTATTGAAGGTTGGAAACAAACCCCAACTGCACAGTAGTAAGAGCAAGTTGCGGGTAAACGAAACCTCTCGAGAATAACGAGATTATTCGCTCTCGAGCCCACCACTATGGTGGGCTTGGAGCGAGCGAAAAGGGGAAGAGCAAATAATCGAATGCAGCAGAGGTTTCAGGGTGAGACCTGTTCTGGTGGAAATGAGAGCTAAGGATGCCGTGTTCTTCGGTTGAAGAGGACGGGCGGCGGGGCCAGCAGCAGTAAGAGTTGAGAAGGAGCGCAGAGCCATGGCTAGTGCTGGCTCGGGGATGATAATGGCTGGGGCACGAACTAGCGCGTGACTGTGACGAGTGAAGGAGGAGATCTAGACTAGATAAAGAGCAGAACCAGGGATGGAATCCGGTTTGGGCTGTTTTGCATTTCAAATTTGGACTTTGAGTTTTGGCTGCAATTATTGTTTTATTTTAGAGCATTTTACATATGGTCCTCAACAAGAAAAAATATTAAATCCGTATGCAAAACTGCATACATAGTCCAATCCCGAGCGTGCACGTGGAATGTCGGGCCCACCTACATAAATAATGAAAAAAAAAATGAAACTTTGAAGCCCGGCTCGAAATAAAGATCTAGTGTTTTTAAAATTCAAAAATTAACTTCTGATCGTGTGACCCGGCCAAAATCCAAATCTAAACTTGTGACTTTTCATTCAAATGACATTTTTTTGACATTGTCTTGACACTATTCGTACGGTTTCAAGCTCTCCGTCTGATTCCTTCCTCCTCCGCGAAACCCTAGGATTTTTGTAACGTGTTCCACGCAACTCAAAGCAAGGTAGTCATTCGACAATGTTTTCCAACCGGCAAAACCCTAGGTTGCACATTGCACCGAAAAGACACGATCATGAAAGAGGCAAACATGAAAGCTAGCAGTTCGATAAAATCCATATATTATGCATGATTAACACATCAATATAAGTTTTTATCTTGGATTTGATTGTATCATCTAAATAACACAACAATAACACATAAAAAACTGTGATTGTGTTGCTTTTGAGAAGTTATTGTTGTTTAAATAACAATACCAACTCAAAAACATATTCATAACGCATGAATAACACATTAATATAAGTTTTTATCTTGTCATTGATTATATCACCTTAATAATGCATCAATAACATATCAATAACACACAAATAACACTTAAAAATTTGTGACTTAGGTGCTTTAAAGATGTTATTATTGTTTAAACAACAATACCAACTTCAAATCACCTTTATAACACATTAATATAAGTTTTTATCTTCTCATTTGTTGTATCGTCTCAATAACACATCAATAATACATTAATAACACAACACTGACACATATAAAAACTGTGACTGAGGTGTTTTTTAGATGTTGTTATTTAAACAACAATACCAACTTAAAATCGTCTTCACAACAATGTAAATTTTTATCTTGTTATTAGTTGTATCACCTCAATAACACATCAATAATACATGAATAACACAACAATAATACATAAAGACAGTGATTGAGGTGTTTTTGAGATGTTATTGTTTTTAAACAACAATACCAACTCAAAATCATCTGCATAACACATGAACACACATCAATATAAGTTTTTATCTTTTCATTGGTTGTATCACCTCAATATCATATCAATAACACAACAATAACATACACAAAACAGTGACAGATGCGTTTGAGATGTTATTGTTGTTTAAACAATAATATCAACTCAAAATTACCTTCATAACATATGAATAACACATCAATATTAGTTTTTATTTTGTCATTCATTGTATAACTTCAACAACACAACAATAACACATAAAAAATAGTGATTGATGCTTTTTAGATATTATTCTTATTTAAACAACAATATCAACTCAATATCACATTCATAACACATGACAACAAATCAATATTAGTTTTTATCTTGTCATCGGTTGTATCACTTCAATAACACATCAATAACACATGAATAACATGCAATAACACATTAAAAATAGTGATTAGGGTGATTTTGAGATGTTATTGTTGTTTAAACAACAATATCAACTCAAAATCACCTCCACAACACATGAATAACATAACAATATAATTTTTTATCTTGTCATCGGTTATATCACCTCAATAACATATTAATAACACATGAATAACAACAATAACACATAAAAAATAATGATTAGGGTGCTTTTGAGATGTTATTGTTGTTTAAACAATAATACCAACTCAAATTCATCTTCATAGCAAATGAATAACACAACAGTACAAGCTTTTATCTTATCATTCGTCGTATCACCTCAATAACATATCAATAACACATTAATAACATAACAATAACACATAAAAAACAGTGACAGGTGCTTTTGAGATGTTATTGTTGTTTAACAACAATATCAACTCAAAATAACGTTCATAACACATGAATAACACATCAGTATAATTTTTTGTCTTGATATTGGTTATATCACATCAATAACACATGATCAACATAACAATAACACATAAAAAAACTGTGATCGGGGTATTTTTGAGATGTTATTATTGTTTAAATTGTTTTGATTGCAGCATGTTCGTTTGCAAATATATTAAATAAGTAGTACAGGCGATGCAAGTTGACTGGGGCAACATTTGGATTGGCAGACAAATATGATCAAATTTGGAGCTGATTTTATCTATGTTATTTGCATGTGGGATCGACCTAAATAAGATATATTTTTCCTTCAGTAAAATGTGTGTCGATGAAAATTTTAGTGGAGATTAACTCTTTTGTAATTGATTTGTTAATTTGGTCTAGTTAAGATGATACTTAAATTTTTTTAATGTGCGTCATATTTAGTTTTATTCATTTGTTACTGCTTTCATATGCTAATTTAATTAGGTGTCGAGGAAATGTTTTGTTATCATTTAATAAGTGATTTTATTATGAATTGCTCTATTTAATTCAGCGTTTATGCAGCTTGAATAAAATGAATATTACTAATTGAGAAAATATATCTCTGAATTAAGAAGGTGAAAACTCCAATAACCTTATTTTCATGTAGGTTGAGTCTGACCACATTTTAATGTTTCTGGGATATGTTGTTGACACAACGACACCCGACCTTTCTTATTCTTTTGATTTGACTTACTTTAAATTTATTTTTTCATGCATGTGATTACCAGTTTCGCCCTTTTTATCTTATGGTTTTTCTGAAAATCATGTGAATCATTTAGACTCTCTAATGATTCGCCCTTTTCTTATTCTTTTGATCTGACTTTAAATTTTTTTTTCTTGCATGCGATTACCAGTTTCGCCCTTTTTATCTTATTCTTTTTCTAAAAATCGTGTGAATCATTTTGGCTCTCTAATGACCTAAACTTATAATTTTTTTCTACAAAAATCCCTATAAAATTAATTAAAATTTAGGATTAAAATATTCAAGATTTTAAAAATCTACACTTTAGTTTCTTGCATGGCCTTTGGGGCGTGTTTTAAATGGATTGCAGAGCATGGTCTTCACCTAAGTCATATTAATAGGGCCTCTACTTATAAGACTTATTATACAACTGAATCATACTTGCATGTCCCATGGAGAAGCCCCCGTGTTTATCCAACCTGACTAACCCAACATAGATTTCCACTTAGATGGTTGTCTGCAACTCTTCAGGCATTAGTTCTTTCCCCAACCCATACCGGGAATAAGTCCTTTGTGGGGGCATTTTTAGCTTTGTAGCTGGACCTCTTCTCTTTTCACTCTATCAACATCCTCACCACTTTGGTGGGTGTATGTTCCATCTCTACTCTTTCTACCTACATAAGTCCATAGGATTTAGCGTTTCCTTCTCTTGACCTTAAGGCTACTGAGATCCCATTGGATGACACAATTCATGAATTGCTGATAGGGAGATCTCCGGTTGTGTTGGGTCGACTACCTTCACGACAAGGTAAACTTGAGGTCCTAATATCTTGGGATGAAGGATTTGTAGTATTGTAACTTAACTATCTCTACTTGATTAGAATCACTCTACATTTCGTATACCACCTCCTTTGAGCCCTATCGCTCCTTTCAACACTTGTTGATGTCGCCTTGTAGGCCCCGACTGTGGAAAAGCCACCGTTTATTTAGGATACAATGAATCATCTCCTGCCCTTTTGTTCTAGTTTGGCTTTGAAAGCATAGTGCAGACCCTACGAGCCAATAAAGTTACTTCACGGGTCTTGTGTGATGATGAGCCACTACACATTTGGGATGTGAGAGATTTTCTTTATACTATATGTCATAATGAGAGCTTTGAAAGTCACGAGATGTTCCTATGAGGTAACTTTCTTTTGTGACGCCCTATATTAGTTGTCACCTAAATGTATGAAGAATTTTGTAATCGAGAGTATTCTCAGGCGTTGTTTAAGATATAATAAACCAAGTGGATAAATTCTTTTGGGAGTCGGTATTGAATCCAAAACAAAATGTTCTTTTGGCTCTCTAGTTACTTTGGTAGCTTATGTAGTGTCGGCACTATTTTTGGTGTGGAGTTTGC